ATAATTACAGTGTTGTTTTAATCCTTAACCCTAAATCCTGAACCAAATCCTATAAGGAACCCCTTGCCCCTTTTGAGTAATAATACCACCTTAGAGATAATAGATGGGTTATGGTTATTCCTAGAATTGTGTTGATAATGGGGTAGTAGTCGTGATATATCGGTGAAATGTAGGGGGGATCTTAGGAATGATCATCTAATGGGGGTAGTAGTAGTGATATAATGGTGAAATGTAGGGGGGAGTATAGGAATGATCATCTAATGGGTTAGCGGTGGCATTATTACCCAAACTGGGCAAGGGACTCTGACTGCATTCGTGCTCTCCAGACCACGTCGTCCAGCCTTCCAGTGTGAGTGGATTCGTGGGGAGGCGCCGCAAGCTGCACTTATTCAAGAAAGGCGTGTGAGCATCACAGATTTGGGTTGGTACAGGGCATGAACAGGATGAGACCCCAAGGTAGCTCAGACTATACAACTTCTGGAGTATTGAGCTGTTGGGATCCTTAGGGGGTGGTTCAAAGCGAGGGGGGAATGGGTGATTGCTCGGTTATAAACCCCTTTGAACCCCCTGCGCATAGGGATCCGATCAATGGTCTTCGCGGAACCTTACAGTGAAATGCATAAAACCCTCAGACGCTTGCCAAATGGATCAATTGAACTAAAAAACCTCTCTATGACAAGCTTTTGCGCAAATGCTCAAATGCACGAAAAACAGGACCCATGAGCTACCCACCCAGCGGTCCTGGAGGAGCTGCTCTAGCACTCTAGCGGTATCTACCTATCAGGGCTTTGCCCGCCTTGGCGTAAAACGCTGCCAGGTTCTCAGCCAAGCCCTGGTAGGAAGCCTGATGCAAGTTCGGGATCTTGCTCATCTCACGAAGTTTGCACTTGTTGGGCATGGTCAGCTGTGTGATCCACCCACATTCTGAATCAAACTCCTTGCAGCGGACCTCAATTTCTGAGGCCTGCCCTTGCCATGGGTCTTAAGCTGTCTGCAGGCCTGCTGGACTTTTCCGATGTGGCCGTGGCCCGCTCGAGCATGCCTGCCGACCTCGAACCGATCTCACGTTGCTACAACTCGAAAAAAGAGTTGGAACCTCTCGAATGATTGAGAACCGAGTGTGGCCCGGTCTTGGATACTGACGCTATCTCACAGACTTCAATCTCTTTAAGGAATACATGTAAATTGCAGCTAGGATCCTGACAAATGGAAAGTGGTGTTTTGTAGACTGAAAGAACAACAGAGAATGTTGAATGCGGGACAAGAGAATTCGAGATTCCCCCTGCGCAAGACATGAGATGTGAGGGGTGTGGCCTTCACCGCCTTCGTTGCTTCATAGCCAAGATACCAACGTCAAGCAGCTCATGCACAGGTCGTGACTCAGGAAGTTCCTCGCCACACATTCGACAATTTTCTCCGCACTCCAAGTACCACTCTTTTGCTATGCCTTCCAAGGTGCAGAATTACCACGCGAGGGCATGGCAAGAAAACAAAATCGTAAGGTACCACGTCGCCTGCCATGGCCGAAAGTTTGAGAAATCTGCGTTGACTTCCTAGTTACCGCCGAGAGAATGTATGGTTCAGCATTGTCGCAATGCGAGAATTATGTTTCACATGCGGGCTTCGATGTTGGACGCAACCCGTACAGAGCAGCGCGCCTTGCCACAACGCTGGGCATGTGAACCGCAGCATCAGCAGAAACTCGTCTCTTTGGTAGTCCTCCGTGTCACGGGCTAGTCTTGGCTACTTATGCTTTCTTGTCCGAGGCCTGTAGGTACACCTAGTGGTACTTTAGTGTGTTCGTGGATGGACACCTAGACCTCGAGAGCTGCGAGAAAAAGTGAGTCTTTCGCACACAACGGCGACCTGGGAAGAAACCGAAGTCCTGCGTTGTCCGGAACACAAGGGTTGTCGCTCCAGGCGTCAGCCGAGACATGGGTGCTGAGGCAGATTGGTGCTCGTTCAACGATGAACAAGGCCGTCTGGGGCTCTCCGGTGCCTCTTTGAATCACTTGAGTCATGTAAAGTCTCGTGTGAAGGGCATCTCGGTGGCAATCAGCTTTGCGCAGGCTGGGCCGAGGGATGGCAAGGGGACTAGGACCTAGCATGCGTCTGGAGTGATGTCTGAGTGTATCAGCTCAGTTTTCCAAGACTGCTCTTGCCACGGCTTTAGGGTAGCTCAGGTGCATGCAGTTTCTTGGCCCTACTGGGAAGTGACTCAGAAAGGTTAGGCAACAAGCATTAAACAAACCATGTGCGAGAAATGGGCTATCCATCGTGGAGGCGCCTGTCAGCCTTGCTGCGAAAAAGACGTGAGCGCTCGTGCGACTGGGCCGACGGATCCGTTTCAGCTCGAGGATTGAGACTCCAGACACTGAGGTAGTTGGGCAAAACCTATCTTACCTGCAGATCATAAGTCATGTTGCCCCATGCAACCCTGCTCCCAAATCCTGCTCGCAGTTTGAGCTTTTGTGGTTAGTACAGCATCCCTCGGTAGCATGACTTCTGGGCCCATCTGCAAGGTCTGCAAAGCAACACACTCCAGACTGATGATCGAATCAATAGCTGGTAAGCTAGCACGGCAGCTTCAGCTGCAGATTTGCCATGCTTGGCAAGAGATGAGGCTGCTTCATGTAGGGAACAGCAGCTACACTCGTCGTTCATATATTAGCGACTCTAACTTTTTTGATCCGAGATGCATTCATCTGAAGGAACGGTAAGCGACGATGCGGCGTGTTGTTTTGGATGGAAACAGGTAAAAACTGTGTCTCAAATTTCAATTCCTATCTCGAATCTCCTCCTGAGGAGCGAACACGGATTCGGCCTGGCACAATAGCAATGTCGTGCCTCGATCTTTCGCTGGGGACACGATTGCTTCCTGTGTCCTACAACTGTACTCAAGATATTGCAGCTTAAACACCCTGCAGTTCTATGACAGAATTTTGACTCCGACAGATATTGTGCCTTTACGCCAACTCACACGCATAGCCCATGGAGGCCCTCCCAGACCGTAACCACGCAAAGCCCGACTTCCACTGCCGCAGAATGGCCTATCGGGTGCCTAGTGCAACATCGCCCTGACAGCTCTACAAATTCAACAAGGTCTGGCTTTCCGCAGTATCTTCCCCAGCGAATGTACGAGGGCTGATCCGAACAGACTTGCAGAGTGGAGGTTCTGAAAGATACTGAAAAATCGATGGGTTAGCAGCTTAGCACACATAAAACCAACAATTAGCGCGAGTGACCTAACTCGCGTCCTTCTGCAACGCAAGGAAGGTTGGCTGTAACTTTTCTGTCATAGTTGTAACTTCTTTGTTTTTCCTACAAAACTTCTTGGTTGTGACTTTTTCCTTCTTAAAAAGCAACGAACTCTGCAAAGGGTCGCAAAACAGGCTTCTTGGTTGTGACTTTTTTGCCCTCTGCTCCGGAGCCTGCCATGCTCAAGCCCAAGGCTGCTGCCGGGTTTTCTCTCCTTAGGGTTGTCCACCTTTCGAGCAGCTCCCTGCAAGGTGAATTGCTCAAGGTCGTCTTCGGCCAACGGTTCCTGCTGTTTTTTTTTTCTCCTGCTGGCTCCTTAGGGTCTTTTCGTCTTGGGCGACAGTTCCCGCAGGGTCTACTTCTTGGGGTTTTTGGTTTCGGCCAAAGTTCGTGCTGGGTTTACTCCTCAGGGTTGCCGTCTTCGGCCAGACATTTTGCGGGTTTACAGGGTGGGGTTGGGGGTGGGAAAGTGGGGTGAGAAAGGGGGGTGGGGGCCGCTGAAGTAGGGTGGTGTCAGTGGCTGGGGGATTGGCTAGCCAGAAGACACTGTTGGCTTGGAGGGGGGCCCTCACAAAAGGAAAAGGTTCCAACTAAGACAAAAACACAGGTACAGCTAACCCTGCTACCTTCTGCAACCCATATCAGCCATATCAAGACCGGCCTGAGTTGAGTGCTCTCGTTGCAGGGGATCTCGCAACCACTGGGATCGTTGCTGGCCCCGCTCGGCAAAGTACGCTGAGAACCATAGCTTAAAACACAGACTCTCCGTGGTACCCCTAAACATCCGTGACACCCTGTCACTGAGCCTAGCAGGGATTGATTGTCTCCGCCCTCCACTCTGCCGGTCAACTGCCCCTTTGGAGAGCCAACTGCAATGTAAGCAGCCTACTGCACCACAGGTGCTCCAATGTAGCCTGTAAGTGCATCTGTCAGTATGAACTTCCAGAAGCTACATATGAGTAGATCGCAGGACTTTTATCAAACTTGCAGTCTATACTTTGTTGCTGAATGGATGCCTTTCCTGGCTGGATCAAAGGAAGTTGCAGGTGCCTGCTTCTCCTAAGCTCTGCGAGGACTGTCTTGACTAACGTGCTATCATGTTCATTGGTTCGCCAGGCTTCTGCAAGTGGCTCTCGACGACGTGCGGCGTCACACCCGGTAATGGGAATGGTATTTCTTCTGTAGCGTTTCGCACCGGACTCTTCGAAGGTTCAGGGCGGGGACATCTCAGCCAAGCTGGGCTTTGCTGGAGGAGCACAGAAATGTTGTTGGGCCGTGTGCCGGTGCTTGTGAAACGCCCCAGAGTAAGCTGCCTTTCTGACCGCAGCACAGGAAAGGGGATACCACACAGAAACACCCAATGAAGTGTCTGATGGCCTCGGCCCCAACCACAGCTTTCTTGAACCTAACAAACAGATCCCTTACCCCACCGGGAAGTGTGCTGCAAGAGCAGCAACAAACAGTCGCCTGCTTTGAGCCATCAGGCAGCGAGTCGATGCAGGGCAGAAGGTTCAGAACATGTGCGCACCGAATATCTCCGCGAAACTGGCATGTCCAAGTCTTCTTCACTATAAACTGGTAGACCGTAGCTTGATCTTTGACTCAACATCGTCAAAGATGCCGCATATGTGCATGCCTTGGTGAGGACTATCAACTATTTTCGGTGTTCGGTGGCTAAGGCTCTAAGGCTCCATTCTGTAAACGCCATAAGAAGCCCTGAAAACCACGGCTGGGACTCCAGCGCGGAAGCCAGGGCCTCAGCCCATAGGTTCGCTACGCGTGCCCATGTGTTTATATGCATGAAACTGCATGTAGATAGGCAAATAGGCAAATTGAGAGACATCCAGATTATAACTGCTGTAAGAAAAGTAACGAGCCGCGGCGACGAATAAAACAGAGTAAGACTAGCTACGTAGGTAGATAGGGAGCCCCGATACCTAGATAGATCGGAAGACGGATAGCTGTCTGATGTTAGTCGTTTCTAGAGGCTGCAAGGGTTTGGCTCGAAACCACAAGAATGAATGTCCGAGGCAGGACGAGCTTGAAGCGTGCCAGCCTGGGCCATCATCGTCGGGGAGGTAGGGGCTGCAAGCCTGAAGAGTCGACGAGGTGACAATGTGACAAGATGTGATACGCGTCGATAGCGGGTTCAAGCATGCCAAGGGATCAGCTGTAATTCGAATCACGCTTCCCGTACTACTAGAAGCTCGAGGACTAGAGGAAGATGGAGGGTCCCGTCCAGCTGCAGTCCCGGCAGCTGGCTGGGATTCGCTTTCAAGGTGTCTTCCGTGTGCTGTGCGGTGGCCACCTCAGGCTGACGCCAACAGTCTTGCTTGCTTGGGGCTCAGGGAAGACAGGTGTGGGGGATTTCTGATTCAGCACTTTTCTTGACGCCTGAAGTGGCTCAGAGGAAATCCGGCTGCAGCCAAGCAGCAAAAGCCTCAAATCCTAGGATGCACGCGTAGGCCGTGTACGGACGGCAACATGAAACGTGTGCAATGTGCACAGCATGTCATGCGGCTACCATCTGCAAAGCAGCTATAGAGGCTTGAGACCTTGATTACAACAGCTACCAGCAGCTACCATCTCCCTCGGCGGAATTGCCCTGGCAGCATGCTACTAGTAGTACCCAGCATCTGCTCAATTCGGGCCCCCCCCGTGAATCAAGGCCTGAGCCCAGAATGCTCAAATTCTGAGGACAGGCGGAGGCGGTTTGCTGCCCTTGATGGCTCCGTCGTTGCAGAGACGAGGAATGGAGCATTTTTTAAGAACCAGTAGAAGTCAAATCGTTGCAGGCTCTCGTGCGAGCACCTGGGCCTTTCTTGAACAAGCCTACGCAATAGCCCGAAACTCGAAGCTCGTACACACCCTCTGCCTCGTTCCTACGATGTGTGGTGGCATGAGTTTGCAATCGAATTTGCTGCCGCTATGGCTGCTTGATCATTCCTTGACCTGATACCCGAGTGGTCCCGACTTCAAACCATTTTCAGACATTCCCCCTCTAAGGAGTCAACTTCCGGCTCAACGAAGGCAGAGACATATTTCATGGTAAGTGCCGTTGAACCGTTTCACAGATTTGCCTGGCACTTACCTCCGACATGTGACAATTCGTCTTCATTTCCCCCTTGCCTGCAGTCAAGTCAGCTCAGCTGGCAGTTTGGCCGAGGGGCCGCGGTCAGCCAGAAAGTCGATGACCTGCGTGTTCGCGCAGAATGCAGGAGAGAGGGTTTTTGCGCTCACAGGCCCGGTGGCACCTGACCCACCGGGCCAGTCTCGACGAAGCGCGGCTCACGGCTCCAGGCCGGGTGCTGCATCTCGTACAGCACCTCACGGCGACATGTCAGAGCGTCTCATGCAAAACGCAGCTTCTCCAAGCTATTAAGACATTAAGAACTTATGTTCACCACCAGGAAGGCCACTTGCCCAAACGTCTTCCTAGCTCTGCCCCATCACGCCTCATCACTCCCAGAAGTCCTTCAAAAAGCCCAAGGCTCTGCGGCTCGCAGCGCATCGCCCCAGGGTCCACAAAGGAGGCCAGCAGTGTCCAACTCGGCAGGTCTCTTCTCGTGGTGGTCGAAGGTTCGTGTCGCGTGCTTAGACCAACCCCACCGCAAGCCTACGCATCTAGTTCGGACGATGGAGTCTTCAAGCTGTCATATTTCGGGTGGAGCGGCATGCTAAAACCCTCTGATGCATGCCTTCGCATCATCGGCGCCATAGAGCCCCAGGCTGCAAGACTGGTCTGACCAAGGCACTGCTGGCGCCGCCGATGCCAGCAGGAACTTCCACATCTGGCCTGCGCAGGGGCTCTCAACGCCTCAACGGTTGGGGCCAAGCTACTGGTACCCTACAAACGAAGAACGGATATCCGAGACTCAGACTCTTTCCTTGGAACGGAGTCTTATCCAACCATTGACGTCAGGTTCATCCCCCGCGTTCCAAAAGAACCCTGAGCTCCAGCCTGAAGGTGAGAGTTGTTCCAAGAAGCTCGACGGCCTGGATTGCGAGCCGCACGAAGCAAGAAGGGTGAGCAGGAATCGGCATATGCTCTAAAGTCTCGAATGGCTACAGAAGCAGGCAGAGTGCAGCGATACACTAGTATTGCCCCAGTCAAGACGTGCCATGTGGCAACTTCGTGTTACATTACAAACAGACTAACACAAAGATGTTGGATTACAACTGCAATTCCTCGTGCTACTGCTTGCACGGCTGCTGTGCCGAGTGTACTGACTCTTGTTGACTCCAATGTTGCTGCACATGTTCTGTTCCCGTCGGTGCAGGGCCGCCAAGTTCATGGGCTGTCATAGATGATTGGGAGATCGAAATGCCTTCTCGAGGCACTCATGGGAAGTGGTGGTGGGACATCGGCAGGCTAGCTTTCAATGGTCTGTAACTGTAGTTGACTTGGCCTTGCGGGGCACATCTTTCATCGAAGCCCGACGTTCTGCCCTTCCGCTCTACTACAGTTCCAAGATGTCCCGAGGCGCGCAGCCATCGCCACTGCGGGGACTGCAGCCATTCCCGGTGCCGCCACGGGCATTGCATGTGCCACCCTCGGCTGGCAGCCGTCAACAGTTCTTCTGGTCAACCTTCCTTTCTGCAAGACCCATGCGTTTGCCGAAAAGTGGGGATGGCAAGCAAATCCGAGCCTTGAAGCATTACGTCAAGATGCATTGCGAAAAACGTGGCACGCTTTATGTTCTGTTCGGCTTGTTAATCGTGAAGCAAAGGAGATGTTAAACATCTGTCCACCTGCGGTGGTGTTTGTGGCCAGGGAGATGATGGTGGCGATCGTCGTCGCCGCTGCAGTAGCGGTATCGTCGCAACAGGAACCAAAGGAGTCAGGGTAGTGCTGAAGGTTGTGGTAGTATCAGCATCAGGAACAGCAGTAGCCCTTGCAGTAGCAGTAGCTGCAGCAGCAGCAGGAGTAGAAACAGTAGTAGTAGTAGTAGTAGTAGTAGTAGTAGTAGTAGTAGTAGTAGTAGTAGTAGTAGTAGTAGTAGTAGCAGCAGCAGCAGCAGCAGCAGGAGCAGGAGCAGGAGCAGCAGCAGCAGCAGCAGCAGTAGCAGTAGCAGTATCAGTAGCAGCAGCAGGCAGTATTAGTAGTGGCAGTGGTAGTCGCAATAGCAGTGGCAGTAGTAGTAATAGTAGTCGTAGTCGTGGTGGTAGTGGTGGTAGCAGAAGTAGTACTCGTAGTCGTAGTCGTGATGGTAGTGGTAGTTGTTTTGTCACTCACATGGCATGGCTGTGACAGCACTGCGAGGGGCACAGGTGACAACTGGACTCCGATGCATCCTGTGCTGAGCCCAATCAACAGAAGCCCAGCCAACCAACATACTCAAAGACAGATGCAGAAGGAAAATGTCCCGGTGCACATTTAGTACAAAGACGACAAGAAACGTCAAAGCAGTCAGGTTGCGGTCGCTGTTGCTGCTGCGGTTGCTTCTGTTGCTCTGGTTATCCACGGAGCTGTCGAAGGAAAAAACTTCATGGTGCTGAAGGCATCCCTGCCGACTGTTGCGTGCTGAGCGGCGGCGCGGCGGCAGCCACGGCCACTGCTGGGACGGCCCTGTACTGGACTTGCGGTGCAGGGCCGCCAAGTTCATGGGCTGTCATAGATGATTGGGAGATCGAAATGCCTTCTCGAGGCACTCATGGGAAGCGGTGGTGGGACATCGACAGGCTAGCTTTTGATGGTCTGTAGTTGCTGTCCCCTTAGCGACGAGAACTCAGCCTAGCGGGCACATCTTTCATCGAAGCCCGACGTTCTGCCCTTCCGCTCTACTACAGTTCCAAGATGTCCCGAGGCGCGCAGCCATCGCCACTGCGGGGACTGCAGCCATTCCCGGTGCCACCACGGGCGTTGCATGTGCCATTGCAGGCACCGCAGTCCTCGGCTGCAGGCCATGAAGAAAGGGGTTGACGTTCACACAGCTTGGAATGCCCCCATCCAGCCTTTCGATCTGCCAAGCAAGTTTTCAACGACCATGTGATACGCAAATGCCAGAACCCAACAGTGAGGAAGACCGCCAGCTCTATCATCTCCAGAGGAAAGCTTCCGGGGAACGAATTCGAGAGACGGCGGTTCTTACGATGGCCAAAGCAGTGCGTGGCAAAGAGAGAAGTGGAAGCAGCAATAGCAGCGGCAGTGTCGAAGCAAGAAGGCTAGTTCAACCTAGTCCTGGGGGTCCAACAATCCACTGTTTCAGAGAGCTAAGGTTGTAATGTTTCCCGAGATGTACAGGACCATAGTTCTACCCTTGCTGTGCTCTTGAAGTCGTCCCTCTCATACGACAACTAGTCGGCCACGCAACAACACCGCAGAAACATGTGGCATGCGGAGAGAGCACATGGTTGAACAACAGGTCTTGTGTCCGGACCTTGATCCCAAACTGGTTTATTATGTCCCAAACCCTCGTCTGATTATCTGGTTATTAAGGCCACTACATTACTACTCATCGGGAGGTATGCCAGGAGGATGCACAGCTAAGCGTTGCTCTAGTGTTTCGAAGTTCCGGGGCCCATGACAAAGACCACCCAAAGAAAGATCCGACGTGCGGCGCACCCACCATCGGCGGCGCATAGGGATGTGCCGTGTGTCGGAAGCCTTGCATCCTCGGACGGAGACGCACTTGGAAACAAGCTCTTGAGCGCTGGAAGCTGGCAATCCACTCAAGAATGCGAACCTGTGTTGTGACTACTAGGAATCTTGCGTCTCCTCCTCTCGGTCATACCGTCGAAACCACAACCGAAAGGCCCAAGGTGCTCGAACTCATCGTGGCTTGACCCGCGGCGACGATGCGTTGACCGCCTGTTGTAGAGCGCATGTACAGAACAATCCAGTGCGGAAATCCGTGACCTCGCCGGTCCGGAGTGAGGCAATCAGTAAATCCACCCCTGGCCCACACCTGAAACATGCGCGCATCGCTTGAAGCGTCACAAGGGGTGACAATTTCGGACTCCTGTCATGCTCCTGAAAGTTCATGCAGCCCCTGCCGTGCGAACACAGAGACATGGACCAATGATCCCATCTCGCTACCCATAGATACAGGTGTATTATGCTCCATGCTAAGTTGATGACAGCGCATGGCATTGACTGTAGAACCAAAGTCAATGCCTGGGCGTGACTCTCGTCTGTGGTGACTTAAGTGCTTGGGGCGTCCCTTGGGAGGTTCAGCCTTGGGTAGTGCTTATCCCGGCTGCATCAGTTCACAGCTTCGGCCGGACTGTAGCCTCATGGAAGACACACTGCTCTGTCGGCTTGTATGCTTGGGAAAGCCTCGTTCCGGCAAGATGACTATCAAGCAGCAATACACAACACCGGGACACCAGCGGAGGCGAGAAAAGGGAGCATGAGCCAGCTGTACGCGGCTCTTGTTCGAGGGGTGTGCGGGCATGCCCAAAGTCGGAGGCGACCACGGATGGAACCCTGGGCTGCGACTTCGGCCTCCTCCACTTGTTGTCGTCATCCTCCCCATCGCAACAGAAGATCCAGGCGCAGCAGCAACAAAGGCCTCCTGGGAAAAACTGCATGTTGAGCTGCACATGGAGCTAGATGGACGGGCAACGAGGCTTCAGGCTATGGAGGAGCCCGGGTTCTCCGTTTCTGGGATCTGCAGGGCGCCCCAAGTCTGCCTCCAAACGCCACCAAGATGATAATCGGCACCGCCCTTGGCAAAATGGATCTGAGCGAGTTCCAAAGGTTGTGCGACAAGAACCACGTGGCATATGGTTGATCGCAGTGCAAACTCTTCTAAAGCTTCAGGAAAACCGAGAACAGCCCTTTCCTACCAGCATAAAAGCTCAAAGCTAACCCCTTTTAGGGGGTGTTCGCATGGTTCAAATCTGCAACTGCTTTCTCAAACCTTCCGCAGTCTCACATGACGAGACGGTGGAGCTGGAATGCGAGGTGGAAGCCGTATTCCCCTGCCCCGTTGATGCTCTGGATCTGTGAGGCTTCCATGAGATAGAGCAGCTAGAATCTTCGCATGCCTTGAAAACTGAAGTGAAGGCTTCTGTGACTGTGACTCTGTGCAGGTCCTCCGTGCAACAGGAGTGAAATCAAACCACGCAAACACTTCAGTTCTGCAGTTCAGCCACGACATGCCTGATGACGACGGCCTGAGGTACAGCAAACTCCCGCTGAATTGTTCGCCACTTGCTACTTGTAGGAGCGAGGTGGCAGAAGGCGAAGCAAAACAAGTGGAACGCAAACCATTCGTTTCGGACTAGCTGCATCGATGCCGGAACGTAATCCGAGCCCTTTTTCGCTTTTCCAGGCTGGCAATCTGAGCCGGCTGGTCCAAGTTTGCTGGGTGGGCTGTCGTTCCACACCGTGCTTTCACCATCTGCAATTTCTCCGAAAGTGTAGCAAAGGTTCCTTCCTTGGAGGTGACGATGTTGATGCAGGGTTGTCTTAATTTGCTTGGCATACGTTTTCGTCAGGTCGCCTCTTATCTCCTAATCCAATACAGTACTGTCTTTGAACGCACGGGGGCAGGGCTAGCTGGAGTCGCCGCGCATCTGTAAATTGACGTGGCGTACGTGTTTCCCGCCAATGCTTGGGGGAAAGATGTGTGTCACGTCTCTGAATCCCGGTAGTAGAGGGGTGAAGCACTCTGGCCATGCTCCTAAAATCTCCTGAGTGCAATCCGAACTTCCAGTACATGCTGCGAAGATCTCGCGAAATCACGCCACGCATATCTATGGACGATTGCTGGTGTATGGGAGATGCATGCTCTGAATCCCGCCAGTACAGGGGGGGAAGCTGTTTGGTCCACATCTCGCCGTGCGGGATGCATGAATGAAAAGATGCATGGATGATGATGAATGGATGGGCGTATGGATGGATGGACGGATGGATAAACGGATGCACAGATGACTGGATGCAAAGACGGGTGGATATATGGATGGATGCATGGGCGATGGGTGGCTGGGTGGATAGATGCATGAATGGATCAGAGATATTCGGTGCTGCCTCGCCGCTGCTGGAAAATGCTTTCGGGATGCTTGGTCTCTGGTGATTGGCTGCTTTGACTTGCTCTCTGCCCAGTGCAGGCCATACATAATTTGTGCTCGCCCTCGAGAGTGGACTGAACGGAATAAGAATAGGAACAAAACTTGATCGTCCCCGGCTTTTCACGCTGACCGGAACCGGATTCCCCGATTCCCCTTGCAAAGGCATCAAAGCTCAAGCTGCTTTAGTGGGCAGCTTTGGGGTTCCCGGGCAGATTCTCTTGCCTTGCACCCGATCCGAAGCCTTCCCCGGCAACCGCATAATTCTAGAACACGGAGATGCTGCGAATATTTTCCGCAAAGACTCCGGTCAGGGTCGTCAGGAGGAGTTGGAGCTGCCAGAACCTGTGGCGGCCATGGTTTCAATTCAGCTTCAAGGTCATGGGTCAGACACGCACGCATGCATACAAATATGACAGCAACACACGCGCGCCACTTATGCGAAGTTCCTCTGCCGAAGCAGTCTCGGACCTGAGGGTTGCGGGGCTGATATCAGGCAAGCCACCACAGGGGTCAGAGCGATGAAGACATCCTGAGTGTCCTGCCGGACGGCTTAGTACCCAACCGGATTCCACACAAGGACATAAACACAAACAAAGACAGCGACAGAGACAGACACAAACGCAAACAGTCACACACAACGAAGAAAGCCACTACATCCCAACATGAAGCTCGCAAAGAAGTCAAGTGAGCTGGGACCTCTAAAACTGGCCTTGGCGTAGTTTATTCTCTCCGATCTCTGCTGCTGCGGTCAGATTCTATCCGGATGCGCTGCTGCATCACCACTGGCGATTGCAGAAGCGGCAATACCATCCTTCCCATTCACGGCTGCAGCAGCTCGCAGCAAAGCGATCGCTTCCTGAGCTTTGTGCCTGCTCAGCACTTCTGGCAATGCTCCGCCTTTTCTCCTCTGCAAGCTGCAGCAGAGGATCCTTGGGAGGCAGCTCTCGGTGGCTGTCTCCCGGGCGATGGGCCGCGACCCAAGTCTAGCCGCCTAGCCGCCGCTGCCAAACGCTGCTGCGTAATCTGCCAAGCTGATTCGCGAAGCACGCCTGCAAGGTTGCGATCGACTTGAAATGGATCCTCGATGACGCAATGTGAGCGAAGGCGGGTCCGGCATTGCGCAGCTTTCGAAGTAGCAATCGCCTTTGGCATGCCTGGTTTCATGGACACGGCTTGCGATTGCCAGTCGAACGCTGCAAAGTATTCGAAAACGCCTACCACCAGGTCTTCAAGCGTGGCACCTCCCGAGAGGATCTCACGCCTTGCTGGGTCAAGTAGCCTCCGAAGTACCTGATACTCCGCCGACTTTGTGTCAGTTACCTTCTTGTCATGAACCAGGTTGGAGCTTTCCCTGTCGACGACATGCTGAAGGTTTGGCAAGCTGGCCTCACATTGCAAGTAGAAAATCACAAGGATGGTCCAAGCGTAGGAGCTTAGAAAGCTGTCTTGCGCGCCACTTATTCCTTCGTCTTTTGCCCAAGCTTCACGCAAACGCCAACCTCTTGGACTGTGGAATACTGGCTGTACTCGAGAAGGAGCTCAGAATTGAGCACCGGTAGAATGTTAGACCACGTGATATCAAGTGGCACGCTTAGTGCAAGCAATAGAAGAGGGATGTTGGCTTCATAGACTTTCTTGAAAGTCAAGCCACACCGTTCTAACACTTTCGCAACTCTATCACGGCCCGAGATCATCTCTTTCTTTGCAGGTATCTTGTTGATGTGACCGCATCGCAGACTCACAGACGCATCCAGATCACTGTGGTCATCAGAGAAGCCGGACGCATGCGAACCATACATTTTCACCTCAAAGTCGCTTCCCAGCAGGGTTTTCAAGCTGGCACACATCGAATTAACCACTGTTTGGCTGCCGCGTGGTGGCAGCCGTAGAGCCACAGGATCCTTGCACACAGCGCTCCCTGTCCAGTCCTCGAAATTGTGGTAACCTTCCAAATACACAGGCCTCTTCTGCGGTCTGCTCATGTGAGGAAAACCTGTTAAGGCGGCAAGTACCTCGAACTCCTCCTCGGACAGAGTACTCGCTGGCAGCAAAGCCAAGAATCGGGCGAAGGCCAAGCGCTGCTCCGGTGCAAGTGTTTTGGCAAGCCAACTCCTGCTCGCTGCGCCCAGAGGCTGCTGCAATCGCAGCGGGATGCCACCTTGCCATGCTTCCAGCGTAGTCCGAAGCAGGACTTCCAGCTGCGCCGGGGAGACATCTGCGTGCAGAGCTGCTTCGCGCAAGGAGATGGCAAGGAAAGTTGGAAGAGCTCCCAAAAGCTGGTCAGCTACCTTGGCGAGCTCGAGCGCAGCTGCGAGGTCTTTAAAAGGTGGGCGTACCAACGAACGCATTTGGGCCTGGAGCTCCGTCTGCAAGGATGTGAAAGCGGCGCTGGAGCCAGGATATGAATTAGTATCCCACAGAAAACTCGTATTCTCCAGCAGCACGACGACCAAGAATTGCACGTCGTGCAGGCGGAAAGACCCCAAGGTATCAGTGGCCAGCTGAATCAATGTTTGAAAGCAAGCTTCATCCAAGGATCGGCCTTCGCCCACCCACAGCATTCTTGACAAGGAAGCCAGGACTTTTGATATCCCCTCTGGAGTCCAGGTATCTGCATTGCAAAGAGCCTTGTCAGACGCAATATCCTTTTGAATGAAATCCGCAATTCTGAGTCCAGACTTCGACAGCACTGGATGCATCATGATACCAATGTTGTCAAGAGTATGCAGCAGTGCAGAGTAGCACCAGGCAGTGTACTCTGCGATATCAACGTCTAGAACAATCCGCTTCAGGGTGCCTGGCTCTGCCAGGTAGTCAATCAACGAATAGAATTCTGGGATTTCGTCCAATTCAATTCTGTTACGCTCAAAATCTGGATAGTTGTCTGGCACAGAGCTCTCTTAAGCTGATGCTGTTGAGGTCGGTCTTGTGACGTCTCGCCCGCCGAAGAGCTTCTAAAGGGTCTCGGTCTTTGACAAGTTTATTTACCAATTCTTGCTCGACCGAGGGAGGAGAGGGCATGAACACTGCAAAATCGTCATAGTCCACCTCGTCAAAGTCGACAAAGTCCATCTAAGGCTTCTAAGGCCACGTGGTTACTGCAGCACGGCTCTTGACAATCCTGTCAAACCACTTTGCCTTGCCGAGCCAAGAATTGCAGCACAAACATCATGATCAGTCTCGTTCCTGAAATTGTGATTCATGGTAGATATAATCGCACATCAGCGGTTAATTCCTCAACAGCGAACACGCTAATGGGGTCTACAATCTGTAAAGCAAAGGTGCGGTGACCAGGGTTTCGATTGACGGCGGGTTCCCGAAAGCGTCAGGGACGTGTGCGCGCCTGACTGTAGAAATTGGACCTGGCGTTCGTAAATAAAAACCATCTATCTGGAGGGCGATCTCGCTGTATCAGATTCTGCTAGCAAGTCTTGACCAAGCTGTGGCATCGTCAACACTCACACGGATCCCTTGAACCTTGCGACTGCAAGATACGGCCTGGATGGTTGCGAACGTCTGACGGTCTTCACGTACTTTGAATGCTCGTGACTGCTCAACCCGGCACGCAGTCCGGAGCAGTCCAAGTCCCCGCGAAAGTGTTCCTTGGAGCAAGCCGGGAGTCATTGAAGGCTTCGTACTCAAAGCTCTGGCACCGAACATGCGTGGCGCTTCGAAGACCACTGGTGTAGTGTTGAGATTCGTTAGGGTTCCATAGGGAGCTACGCGGTTTACTCTGCTTCTACATGGGGAGTCGACGAGGCTCTGCATCCGAACCCAAAGCCTGAAGCCCGCCGACCCGATGAAACTAGGAGTCTCGTGCTCCCGAGACCATCTACCAGGATCTACCAAAACAAGACCCAAACTGCCCAGAGGTCAGGTGTCGTTGCTGCTGTGCTGCGAATCTACTCAACCACGGCAGAGTCAGGGCTTGGATTTAGATGCGGCAAGATCTCAGACTGGCATTCCAGTGCCAACCGTCCGGAGGGCAAATACGGTCCTGACCAAATCCAGGAAAAGGCGAAGGGGCATGTTTCCCTTTGATTCCTGGCTCGCCTCGCTTTATGTGGGACTTTGCCCTGCTTTTGTTCCTCCCGCCATGCTACTGTAGGTTACTCTTGGAACACGCAGGGATCATCCACACCCCCGGTTTGTGGCGAAATCACTCACAGAGTCATCGATGGTCCACCGATATGTTCGCAGTCTTCTTTAGGTTCTAGCCTGGCAGGAAACTCGCACAGGCTCCGAACTCTGGCCTTGGCAATTTCGGTTCCTTCCATCTTGCTGAAAACGAGCCGAAGAGGGCCTGCACTGGCTTCTCGTTACTTGAAACTGACTCACCAATTTGCAGCCTGCGAGTGGGTCGGAGATTCGGCTTACTTAGCATTCTCCGCTACTTCTTCAGCAAAAACCTGGGGCACGTACCTGGCCTACCTTCACCCACGAACGGCAGCAGACGCTAGTTTCCGCTTGGCATTTTCTTGTCTTTTCAGCCGGAACATGAACATGCTGGGGAGAGCGCATCCCCTCATCACCGCCCGAGAAGAGCCATGAACGTGAATCCCAGCTTCATTCAGCCGTGACGGGGCTGAGCTCAGGTGCTTTTCCAGTCGCGTATGTCTGACAATCAAGAAACCAATCATTCTCGCCTCCGTGTCTGAAATGCCCCCTTCAAGAGTACGCACCTTCGAAATCCTTCGGAACGAAGGCAGTCGTCATCAAATCGTCGCGATTTGCGGCCTAGCAAGCACTGACCGCAGTCGAAGTTGGTGAAGAAGAATGAAGGGTAAAGAGTGCAACCACCGTGAGATAACATTGGCGAGGTGGCCATTGGCAGCACGTGAGAAGCCGGCTCCAAAAGAAAAAGCCAGGAAGAATCAATTCATCCAACAGAAGAGCCTTGGACTGTCACAAGTCGAGCCTTGGGAAGCTGGTATGACCTCGGAGGGGCTTTGGAGGCCAACTTGCTCCAGTATGGTTTCGGCAGTCGTGCCTGATTCTAGAGTTGTCGTACTTTCTTGGGGATATGGACCACAAGGCCCTGGGGTGCATGGACCGACGAAACTGAGGATGAGTTTGGGCCCCGGCTTTGATTGGATATTTGCGCAGACATCAAGGGGGCCAGCGCTTCTCTTGTAGAGACATATCTTCGCGCAACATATGACGGCATGGTGTATCGCTGCATTGTGCGGTAAATTATTAGTATATTAGACTATGTTCCAAAACTCGCACTGCAGGACCTGCTATTGCTGCAATAACTACTGCTGCAATTACTACTACTGCTACTACTACTACTACTACGACGAGCCCGAATTTTCAGCATCACTGTGACTGTTGAGACATCAGCGATAAGGTCATACCGATGGCTCTTGTATGGTTGGACGGTTCCGACTACAAGTACGGCGAGGGATATCAATGGCCCTGGTCGCCAAGCGACGTCTGGCACTTGTCCATCGAATATCTCCGGACGCAGTCGCTGCAAGAACCCTTCCAGGACTGGTAGTGGCCTCGGGGCTCAGCCAAATTTCGTCTCTGACATGTTCCTCGGTTCGTTTTTGCTCAGGATGTTTGGAAACACATGCCGCACCTCACATGTATGTAGGTTATTAGCCAAGAGACAATCCTCGAAGCCACGGCCTCACGTGCAGCTGGTTGGCTCAAATCGCATGTAGCGGTGTGGGTTCAGGTAGCTCCCAAACTTATGTGCGTTCTAGTCTATTTCCCTGGTTCCGGGCTTGCCCCCAACGCGCATTCCCAGGAAGGTTTGCAAGAGATCGCACATCGAATACAAACGTTGCAAATCCAGCTCTGGACAGCAACCTCCAAACATGGGAGCCCTGATGCGCCAATCCCGAAGGCCTCCATTGATTGTGTTCCATCTGCTCGCCCTTGCGCACTCAGACAGACATGCGGTGACTCGCGCGAGGAAGCTAGCGGAGACTAACAACTCCGCCGCACTTCCAGTTGTGTTACGGGACGAAAGCAAGCTACCAGGCAAAAGGCAACAACCACCAGGATGCACTCAGCGAGCCAGTTGTGGGGATCAGTCAAGTCAAGACCCAAAGGCGGCTATACAAGAGTCCACTCGACACCATGTCACATCATGTATTCCGATTCGACTGAGGCTTCCGACATATGAGGTGCAAACGCGAGTAGCCACCCCCAGGCTTCACATCTGCTGTGTTTCCGAATATTTAACTGGACGCTACTACATCGAAGCGCCCTCCTAAGCCTACCTCAGTGTGATTTTAGCCTGGCCTGTAGTGACCAAAGTGGCTTCCCAAGGCATAGCCGACGCCGAGTCCGCCAAGCCCGGCGAGGGGAATCCTTGGGGAAACGAGGAAACGAGCCCCCGTGCTTCAGGAATCCCCTCCTAAACGGTAAAGAAAAGACACAGATCTCGCGATGCAGAGAAGGGCTCCCCAGGCTGCTGCCGGAGGGATACACATGATATCCACCTTGGGCAAGGGGAGTTTGGCATGTACAACAAGTGATTGACGCTGATGATACCCCGGTCACCAAGCCATGGCTATCACCCATGATCACAAATCATAATCATGGTTCTGCTGGCTTGTGGGGTGCCAGTCTAGGTTGGCTCAATGAGGCATTGCGTCGTGTGTATGGCCCGTGCAGCTTCTAGCCTACTTACTGAAGCCCGATCTGGCTTGACAAGACGTGGATCGAGTTGAAACCCGATACCGCCTCAAAAGTCCTAGCAGAAGCTGCGCCACAGACGGACATATGCAGTCCAAATCCTCATGCATCTACAACGATTCGTTGACGCAACAGCTCTTTGGGCACCGGTGACCCTGGGCAGGCCTTGGGGCCTGGGCCATCTTTGCAAACGAGTTGCTGTAACCGTACGAGGTGCGGTGGTAAGATCTGTAGGAAGGCTGGTAGTTGTAGTAGCCTTAGGAACTTGAGGCGAGCTTGCAAGAACTCCCTTGATTTCTCTGCAACTTGCAGGACTCACACAGCGTGACTGCGCCCTGCCAAGGGGCCAGATCGCGGATGAGACGGATTGACCCAGCCCTTTGTGCACAGGTGCTTGCTTCCATGTCATGTTCACCTTTTTTCGGTTCTGGGCTTTCTCTTTCCAGGCCCTGCTGATGCACGTGATTGCGAAGGAGGCTGTGCCGCTGTATGTGGCTCCCCGTGAAACACTGCTTGCTGAAAGACGTCCGCCCTGAACAACTCAGCACGGGACTTGGTTGGTCCTCAGTGAAACAGAAATCGAAAGCCCCCACAGGAATCCTAGGTCCTAGCCTTTAGACTAGACACGATCACGACATGCCGTGCCAAAGATCAGGAGAAATGCGACCACACTCCCAGCCGGAGCCCAAAAAGTGCCGAGGCACGGTGCTCTTCTCCGGCCTTCAAAAAAGAGCAAAGCACTTACACATGAGACAGACCAGAATTCGTGACGCAGCCTCATCAGAAAAAAGTGTATAGGTCTGCAGATGTTTTCGAGCAGCAGCTGAAACCCAATGGAGCGTGTGGATTTGCACATGCACACCAATTTGTGGCTGGGCACTATCAGTAATGCCAGCTCGACGGCGATCGTCATATGTAGCTCGCCGGCGGTCGTCATATGTGGCTCGCCGACGGTCGTCATATGTAGCTCGCCGGCGAGTGTCTGTTTCAGGCAGCATGATTAGGTGCAAACAAACAAACCCTCACAGCCTCGAGAAGATGAACCAGCAACACCCTCAAAAAGCAACAGCCTCACTCACGTACTGCAATGCGATTCTGCAAGAACGGTGCCGATGCCAAGCCACCAAAGATGCCCTGTCTGATTGCATGGAGCCGTGGGGTTCAGGCTTGAGTAGACAGAAGTCCTCCATGTCACACCGATAGCCTTCCGTTGTCAAAGCTGCCTAACATCCGAGAAAACCTTCAATTATCGCGCTTGCGACTGCTTCAATTCTATTGTCTATCCTCTAACCCCAAGAAAGTTTGATTCGGTACTGCTTGAACTGTTTCTTGGATGCATGTCCGGGGCCAACTCGTGAACCTGTCTGGTGCGCCGGGCTATGGCTTGCTTCGTCCGCAGCAACTCGAATTGGAGGTCGAAGCTCGAATCAGGCACCGTTGTTACAAGTGCCTGAGCCCTTGCCTCGCCTGTGTAGGAGTAGGAGGAGTACCCACCACGCCGACCGCCTTGCTGTCTTCAAGTTTGAATGCGCCCAGCTCGGATGTCATGACGCCGTGCAAGCAGTTTCCAGCTAACGTGGTGCTCGGAACTGCTGAGCCTGCAGCAGCCCCCTCGGCTTCGGAGCTGTCAGTTGGTATCCCACAAGAGGCACCCTCTGAAGGAAACATTCGCCGCAGGAACTACCAACATGTCTAGATCCACGGCCTGAATACCCTCCACCATAGGACCGTCCGCCACCTGACAAACTTCTTGCTGTGATTCACTGATATATCTGGCTCCATGTGGCTGTGGGTCTCAAGAAAACACCGTCACGGCTATCAAAGCATTCCGCAATTCAACCATGACCTCGCAAGGCGCAATACTCCCGCAGTAATTCGGTCACAGAGCATCCAATGGCAACTGACTCCTACAGATCACACTAGGGAGGACATCATCAACTGGGCTGCAGTTCCCGAAAAGCCCTTCCCGATGCCTTTGCCGGACAATGCTCTTCCGGGCCTCCGGCGCGCGCCCCGAAGAGGAAGGGTTAGGCTTCTTGGCAGGTCTGGCAAGTCTAGGAAGCCTGTTACCCTTTTTGCTGGTGTTGGTTTTTGGTCACGCATTCTGTTGGGTCGAGGATAGTCACGTTGAAGCCCAGGCAGCATCGAGTCTTCGAGCCGTTGAACTCTAACACCTTCCTTGTGAATTGGACGGGCTGCTGGAACGTGACGCGTTAACTGAGCTTGGCGTGCCAGGACCACTGCTTAAAATTGCGGCACATACCCCGGAGCCCTCAAGGTGCAGAGAGCTCGAAAACGCTGAAGCCGGCACTTTCGACGCAGGAGTCGGACGAACTCTTCATCCTCCTGGGCTCAAGAAAATCCACCGCTCTCTTGCTCAAACTATGGCCTTCTGTGTGGTTGTGATTTGGAATATGGGGCTGGTCAAAGATTGCTGGGGAGTCTCTAGGGATGCGGCGGCGGTTGTATCAGGAAGGTCGTCATGATCGTATAGCCTGTCTTGAGGTGTGGGTAGCAGGGTTCCTTAAACTCCGGGCCCTGCAGCTCGAACCCCCCTCAGCCCTTTGCCTCCTCACTTGAAAACAAGCAAAGCCGCCCAAACTCGTGACTGCGAAGCCCCCAACCCTGAACTCCATCCCTGGATTTTGAACAGTCTGAGGACGGCGCAGTTCCTTCTTCTCAATGTTATTGCTGTTGTTGTTTCTGTTCCTCTCTGCATGCGCCTTTCGAGCCTGCTCGTTGCTTTGCCTCAGGTGGTGCTGAGGAGATCGGCGATGTGGGTTGCGGATGGGTGCTCAGGATGGAGGAGACGAACATTCTGGTGTTGACGATGCTGAGAGAACTGTGACAGCCTTGATGCTGGCCATTATGGTGGACCCTTTTGCCGGCGATGATGGTGAAATGGCGAAAGTGGATGCCGATGATGGTGGTCTCCAATGACTGGCGTCACGTATTGCACAAACTTGATAGCTCCCCCCAGGGGCAATCAGAGTCTCCGTCTTCAGCGCAGCCTCGAGGGTCATGTTGAGCATCTTAGCTTCAAGCCACGCGGCAGTCTCGAACCTACGGCTGCCCCGCACATCGGAGGAAGGACTGGAAATGCTGCAGATCTTCAGCCATGTTCTTATGCGACCGTGGCACGGGGAGCGTTGCTGCGGTCGTCGTAACCGTTGTTGCTGTAAACGTGGTGGTGGTGGCCGTCTCGGTCCTCAGCTACTTCTACTCTTGGCACGTCCTGCGGGCTCCACCCCAAAAGTTTGAGTCCCAAGCCCTTCGGATCTGAATCTGCAGCTGTACCGCCAGCAACCAGTTTCTGAGAAAGCTGGACTCTTGAAACCGGGTGCTGTTCAAAGCACCTACCGTAAACACCCTGAAAGCCGGCAGGAGGCAACACTCCAGGCCCTCAAACGAAGGCAGGTGGCACCTGAGACGACGGGATCGACTGCCCGTCCAGTTTGACCTCCAGGTGTCTGGCAACGTGCGAAATGGAACGCCACCGCACTGAGACAACTGCGAATCTGAAGCACTAAGCAGGCTGAAGCTAACCCTGACCTTGGTCTTCCGCCTAGCTCGGCAGAGCATTGCCGCTAGCAGTCCGCCTCGGCAGATGTGACGTCCTTGCTCTTGGAGTCCAGCACGGACACCCTGAGATCTCAGATGGCCAGGAAACATCTTCTCGTGTGACGCCCACCTTCACCCTCATGCATTTTCTCCACAGTGGGCAATTTGCAGATGCCAATAAATAAAACATGCAGACATCAACGAACATCAACATGTAATCGCAACCTATAAATGAAATGAGCAGCGGCAACAACTTCATAAAAGGTGCTGGAACAATGGGCGCAAGTCATTGCCGAGATTCGTGAAGCTCAGCTGCTTGTTGCCCGTCCGGTAGACAGTGAGGATATGCGGCTGGTCACCTGACAGCAAATGCAGACCGATCCGAACATGTCCAGTAACACCAAAGCCGAATATGTTGCAAGCTGCCGGGCCAAGACAAAGTCACAGCCCATCAAGATATGGGAGTTTCAGACAGTCCAAATATGAGCCCTAAGGTCCTAAGGAGCGGATTCCGTCATCCTCACTTGTAAGGGCCCGTAGACAAGGTTCCCCTAACTTATCAAACCTCCATCAGTCACAGTATAGGGCACTTCGTCCCGGAAGGGCGATGTTGAGCGGAATCAGCGTGTTGGCCGTGTATGGCTCTTCGCAGACCGCGAGTGGAACCTCGGATGTTTCATGCTCCTTCCGAGAGCTTCTCCACAGTAGACTTGCCGCTCGGCCACCGAAAGCCAGCGACCTGTCCTCCTGATCCCTCCTCTTGTGTGGAATAAAAAGCGCGCATCGAAGAAGATCCGACTCCGAACCCAGCTGCAGGCGCTCCCCGGCAGACCTCTCTTCCCTCTGCTGCCAAGTGGCATCAACCAAGTACCTCACTCGCAGAACAAAACGAAGACTCGTCCGCGTCGGAACTGAAAAGCAGGTCTTTCCCGCAGCTCTTGCAAAGCTTAATGAGTTATCATCAGGCTGTACTCCTGCGTCAGGTGACGGTCGCCTGACAGACCCCCTAGGCCAGTCACAGAAGCTGACCTGACCCACGGACCAAGCAAGGACTCTGACCCCAAGGAAAAGCCCAGGGGCCAGGAGGATGCTGGCGCTAGCCTCGGACGAACAGTCGGCCCGCCCTCACTTTTCACGTCTTACTGAGGAAACCCTGCACCACGGCCCAATCTGGAACATGCTCAGAATTTGGGCACTAAAAACATCGCGAAGAAACCACGCCTGCTTCATGAGTGGTTCTAGGCGGTTGGTCGGAGCGGCCTAGGGGTCACAAATACCGAACGTTTCAAGTGAAGCCACGCTTGGCAAAGCGATCCCAGCACCAGGACCAGGCTCAAAGCCGTAGACATCGTGTGGAAGAGTTGGGCTCGACAGTTGCAGACTCTCTGACTGTAGGCTTACGTATACTTTAACATTTCTTGAAACCGTCAGTGCGTGAGGCAGCGCCAACCGCGCTCCGCAATGACCGGCTGCGTCAGAATATGGGATTCAAGGTGTGGCGCACATTCAAGCATGGCCCGGCTACAGCCTGAAGCCAAACATGAGCAGGCCACAATTTGCACGAACGTGGGGTCAAGATCACAAACCAACATGCCACATGTGCGTGCAATTGCATCTGCCAGTACCGTAAGCCCCGCAAACATCCTTGGACGTCCGCCAAACCTGCCGAATGATACAAGCCCTTGCAGGCTCGGCCAATGCTTCCGGTAGAAGCGCAGGTCATCCGGATGACTCGCATCATCCACGAGAATGACCTGTCCCCAGCGCTGTGGGAGAGTAGGTTTACCGACAGTTTCACATCCACATCTCACTCAGCCTCAGTTCGTGTGCGCACTCGCCGAGTGTACTGAAGCTTGTGCATTGTGTTGAGTGTGAGTGCTGCCGGGACAGTCCACGATCTGATCTGGGGCATGCCTCCTTGACGAGATGGGGCGGAGAGGTGTTGAGAACCGAGTGGATAGACCTACGAGGCTTTCAGCAAGTTAGCTTGGCAGTACATTCTGACCTTCAGACAGAAGCTTTACACTGTTGAGGCGGCTTCGCCAACTTCTATCTTAGCATGGAATTACAGATTGCATGCAACGCCTGGCTTGACCGTCGTAATCGCAAACGAAGAGGCCTCACCAGTGCGGAAAATGCCTCGTTGTGGAAGACAATGACAACCTGGCGGCTTCCGATTTCAGGTGCTCAGCTTCGTTGTCCGACATGCTTTTCCGCCGCCCTGCCTACGATGTGGTGCGAGCAGGCTGAGCAGACAGGCGACTCTGCTCTCTCCAGCGAAATCTTGCTTAAACCTCCCGCACCCTGCTGAAGGTCACTGTCTTCATCCCACAGAACAAGCCGGAAAGCGCAGTAGCTTGTGGTAGACTCGTCGGATACCCTGCAGTGGCATGTGCGCATCTTTTCTTTGGAGAACCGGCGCTGTTCGGAAGGAAGCTCGCTGGCGTCAAGACATATGGATAGGCTTGGCAGTGGTTTCTTTTGTAAGGTCGACGCAGACCCAGATCAAACGAGTTCATGCTTCAATCATGAGCATAGCACATTCGCACAATAACTGAGGTCTTTCTGTGCACACCAGGGTCGAACGACAAGTCCCAGCCTCCATGCTTGCATCGTCCGGTTGAGAGTTTCAGAGCTAGGCGACCCTTCCAGGGGAAATTCTAGTGATGAATACACAACATAGCACCCCTAGCTTGAAGAACCCACCCTTTTGCTTCTCCCGCGCGCGCCTGCGGCCAACTTCCGGCACGAGCCGGAGCGGATCTCAGTGCAACTTTTTCCCTCTCGCATGGCTCGAATGCAATGTCTGCTCGCGAGGTCTGACACTAGTTGAACAGTTGCTTTGCATCGACAACAACATCTCAGTGCAACGGAGACATGGTTTACGATTTAGGCACCGGGCGAGAGGCTCTCAGACTGTCAGGGATGTCAAGAAATGATGTTGGGGCATCTGTTGCTACGCTGGTGCACTTCCAGGCGGACTGAGATGCGAGCTTGCTACAATCTTGATTACCATGTCTGAGTCTAAGCCAGTTCTCCGACGGCTGTGTTTGGAACAGCTGGGTCCGAAGATGAAAAAAACTGTCACGACTCCGAAGGTCATCCTTGACTCTCCCAAAAACTCCCGGTGGGCTCCACACATCATCTTGAGACCTTTAGGCTCTCGTTCCGGGCTTGGGCTTCACGGGGCTTCAGAAAGCAAGACGTTGAAGTCACAGCTTCGGGGAGAGCCCCGAAGGGCGTTTTGAGAGGCGGAATCTCAAGCGAGGCCTCGCCGGCCACCCGTTCCAGGCAGCGCGATGAACATCAATCCGGAGATTCACACGAACAGCTACAGACTTCAGTGAAAGTAACCCAAAGTGCTTGTCCTGCCCAACCTCGAACTCTCCAGAAAAATGTGCATGACATACTATATGTCAAACATAAAACACTGTATATGCTACATACATATCTATGTATATATATATATATACATGTATTTCTATCTATACACACACACATCATCTCATTCTTACAAGATGTGATATGACATGACATGATATAAGGGCTCTCGCCTGTCGACCGAGATGGAGTCGCTCACGCGCCTCAAATTTGCCACAGGACACTCAAAAGGCCCTGGGAAGAAGAGAACTCTGGAGTTTACAACCGGCATATTTACTCGTCTTTTTTAAGGAAAACTTAGTCATGCTGACGTGGACTCGTTTATAGGGGACACTTTTTGGAGTTGCCCTGTCTCCCCCAAGAATTCTTGCGAAACCGCTTAGTTTTATCAACGGCCAAAGCCCGGACAGGCGAAACTGCCTAGGCCGACTCGGATCCCGGAAGCCTCTCGAAAATCCCTGAGTGTCCTGTTCCCAATCTGAAAATTAACTCCGAGAGGCGAGTTGAAGCAGAAGCCTCGATGCGCATCGCTCCGCTCCTGAATTCGAGTGTCAGACTCTGGGAGAAACGAGCAAAGGGCTTGTAGGTTTGCTTGCATCTTGCGTTGCTCCGAGGGTTTTTTTGCCCTCTCGCATGGCTGGCAACTATGTCCACAGGCGAGGTTATTGAGGAACTGAATCGGTGCTTGCAGAAGATCATCTTGAATGACAGCTACAGTCCACTAACTCACGAACTCTCATCGTTTGGAGGTCCACAAGAAGGGGTTTACCTGTTGTTTGCTCCGAGGGTTTGGATTGAAGGGTTTATGATCATGGGTTATTAGGCCAGGGAACACGACGGTTGGACTTATGAATTTCGTCTCATCAGAAGGGTGTAGGCTAGGGGTCTTCTGTTTATGAGACTTGGGGACTTCTGCGGATTCATCTCTCAGTCGATTTTGGCTTCTGCTTGGCTGCGCCTCTGCGATGCAAAACCCATCATCTACACCTCGACGAGCTCTGCAGTTTCGGTGACACCTGTTTCAGTTTTCGGGGCTTGGGATACAAAACCCTATCGGAAAATGCAATACTGTAAACCCTAGAAAAAAAGCTGACCACCATACAAAAGCAGGTGAAAAAGCCTCTTAGCTCAAAGGCTTCCAAGCCCTTCGAGCTCGAGGTCCTCGTCCGTCAAACCGTTCGGAGGCAGCCTTAGAAGCTTGGGCCCTGAAATTTTTGTTTCGGTGGGTCTCCAAGGTGTTCTGTCGGGTTTCTCGGGCCTTGGGTCACCAATCGGGTATGATGGGGTTGTATACAGTAGGGTTTCTCGGGCCTTGAGGGCTGGAGCCTGTAGAGTCGAGTGCTGAGGGCCTTTTCTCTGTGTTGTTGCGCGCGCACGCTCGGACTCCTCGGTGTACGGGTCGTGGACATTGAAAGCGACAGATTTCAGATGCATAGCTCCGGGGAGCCATGCATGAAGTCTTACCACACTGAACCTTAACCCTGCCCGCAACTTCGAATCCCTATCCCTTACTTCAACACCGCACCGGATAGTCTTTGGAAGGTCTTGTGCAGGCTGAGTGGCGGAATGGCAGGGGCCTTTGGCGTACCATCGGCCCTTAAGCCGAGGCGCCTGGCTTTCGCTTCACGTTTTGGTTTGGAGGGACATCATACGATAGGCCCTTCCACTTTGCGGGATGGTCAAAGGTGGGATCAATGCTGCACTTCCTGCACTGTAGAGTGAGTACTTGTGCTACCATGTGGCTATCAGCAAGACTTTCAACAGGCAGTAGGGATGCACCCGTGCAGGTGGTTGGCATCGATGCCAGGAAGGGTCTCTGGCCTCCGGCTTGCAAGTGGCCGAATCTGACAAAAGAAATTGGCTCGTGCTGATCGCAGGCACATGCACGCAGCATCGACGCTGGTGAATGCTTTGATGGTGCATCTCGTGTCTTGGTCTGCCCCCTGACCAATGATGAGAACTGCTTTGCTCGTGATGCGATACCGTCGCATGCAATGTGTTTTTTGGTACGTCCAGTAAGCTGCATGAAGGATGAGCCATCCTCGCAAACTCACTGCAAGGTTTGCACACTTGGGCCGGTGTTATAGTTAAGCATACCAGGAATGTGCAACTGTGGCAGGCTGGTGCCTCGAGCTGGAGGGGGCTGATGACCACAACATCATCACGCCATGTCTTCACAAATCTGCGGCTCCCTGGGGGCCGGGCGCTTCGGAATATTCCTGGCTTTAGAGAACCGCAGAAGAGCGCGAGTCCGAGATTCTGACATGAGCCCAGGGTCTAGAACCGATGATTCTGAGCGTCTCCGCGACGAAGCTCAAAGGATGCAAAGTGGATGCAACGCACGGAGCTCCTCGTAGTCACCTGGCATTGGAGGCCTCGGCTGTGTGAGCTGTTTAAAGTAAGCCTGCGCCCTGCAAGACTTCCCGCAAACCACGTGCTCTTACTGAGGGTGGAGACGCAGGCTGAGGAAGTTGCTCTCAATTGAATTTCCTTCATGAGAGACCTCTTCAATTCCCTCTCGCAGCCTCTGAGCAAGGGGCGGCCTCGGCGCATTGTTGTCAAAATCGGTGAGGGGTGCCTCAGTCCCCGAAAGTGAAGGGCATCCTGTAGCGCAGATACTAGCCGCACTAGCCCTAGAACGCCTGGAAGCTGAATCGTAAATCGAGTCTCGACGTGAGGAGAATAATCAGAACTCGCAAAAGAACTCGCGAGCTGGGACCCCAGCTTCGACGAGGTCGGCAGGCCTCCTTCCTCCGGAAGACTTCTCAAGCTGCTAAGGCTAAGGCTCCCGAGATTGGGCTTGGGGTTCTGGGCTTTCAGGGCTCATTTTGTTTAGCTTGCGGCCTCTTGTTATGCTCCAAGTGGCTCGAAAGAGCTAAAACTTCCACAACAAGCAGGTAGAGTAAATAGAAAAGATCTGCACTTCGGCCCGGTTAAAGTCGGGTCGAAAGTCACTCGTTTATCGAATCCGTTGCAGCTGCACCGACTGGAACAGAAGAACAACAAGTAGCACGCATGCGTGTAAGCGTCACGCAGTGCCGACGTCCAGCTGCACTGCTCATTGCTGCCCGAAGAAGAAGGAACCAAAGAGAAATTTGAGCCATGTCAGGTTGGTGACCTCCCGCATTGTGTAGCAGCCCCCTTTGCGTGCCTCCCCTTGCCTCGCTGGCTTCCACGGCGGGGGCCGGCTCTGCCTGTAGAGACGAGTGTGTGCCGTGCTGGCGGAGGACTTGAACTGTGTGCTTCAAGACTTTTTGTAAGGTGGCCAGCCGAAGCCCCGAAGCCATCGCTGTTGCAGAGCCCGGCACGTCATGTGACCTATTCCGGAAGATATGATGCAGTAGGGCCTCGCATGTGCCTTCGACCGAGAAACCCAAACGAAGATAGGTTGAAGACAACCAGCGAGACGATGCAATGTTGCTGATTTTAAACGCCTCAAAACCGTAAGCTCGAACAAAAGCTCGAACCCGAGGTACCGGCCGCTTCCTCGTCTTGATTCGCTACGGAAAGATGCGGTTGGCGACTTTGTCCTGCACTCGGCAAGGTGCCCTGCTTGCTACAGAATGGCAAAGGCTTGAGGGCTCAGGCTTTCGAGCTTACAAAGCTTCAGGTGACTCTCGTCTATCGCAAGCGAATCGGTCTACACAGGTCACGGTGTTTGGGTTCTGTGAATGCAGGCGTCTACATGTAACGGACTCCCTGCAGCAAGCAGACACCCTACAGAGCCTCCGCCATCGGAATCGGCTGGCTCCTGCGCCTTCCAAGGGTACAGCAATCGAGCAGGGTGTGCATCTGAAACACAAGCTGGCCACGAGAGAAAAGGGGGAGACGAAGAGATTGGGATCAAAAAGACACGGCAAAGACGGCAAAGACGAGCCCGCTGACACCTGCGGCGCCAGCTGTGCTGCGAGCTGCTCCGTCTGATGCGGCCTCGACTCATCTGAATTCTAGTCTGCCTGCTTGCTGTTCACAGAGTTTGAATCCGCCGCCCTGCAGGAAACCAACCCGGCGATTTCCATTCGTCTTATGAACTTCCAGGATCAGCAACTATGGCCGATACCGATACGTCTGCCGAGACTTTCTTATCTTTTGCTGGCTCCGGTGCAAGGACGCCTTGTGAACGCGACTGAGGGCAGAACTGTGCTGCCTCTGCCTCGTTCTTTGCCGAGGGCTCGAGAGTCCTGGAGAACAGCAACGACCCAGGTGCGAGCAACGCTGCTCCGGTTGGGGCTGCTGCGGTCTGAACCCCTACTCGGGCAACAGCCGAATACCTGGATTCCACAGTTGCTGCGACTTGTTTCCGCAAGGCTTTGAAACTGCCTGCCCAAGACCCTCTCTTAGAGAACTACCCGCAAGATTGAGGTCGGTCGGGGCTTCAGACTTTAAGCTTTGGGGATTTCGGATTTAGGGTTTTTTTTTACGGATTTAGGGTTCAAGCTCTAGGCTTTGGGCTGCAGGAACTTAGAGGATTAGGCTTTGAGTCTTTAAGGTTACAGGCGTACCCTAACCATCCCCAGCCCAAAAACCCTAAACTCTGAGCCTTACGGTGGCGTTTCGGGCTTAGGGGCTGCCAAATCCTGACTCCTTGTTTAGTGGACAACATGCCCCGCTTTAGGGGTTTAGTTTAAGTTATGCCCAAACTTGATTCAATTTTTCTATGACTGTCGACACTCATCTGTCGACCCCGCACACTGCTGTCGCCACCACAGTTGGTATCACCCCACCAGGTGACCACAGATCCATCACCCAGGATTGCAGCGCAAATGCTGCTTGCGAAGCTTGGATCTGCTGTACATCTCGCAACTGATGCTGTTCCGCACCGCTGTCGCCACCACAATCGATAAAACCCCGTGACCACAGATGCATCACCCAAGAGTGCGGCGAACGTAGAGAGTGCAGTGCCTCTGCCTCGCCTCGTGGCTTGGAGTTGGACTTGACTTGGCTCACGTGCAGGGTGAGCACATCTCCACTCTTCAGCCTGGCTTCTGTGATAGTTTTTGTTCCGTCAAGCACCTCTCCAGAAGAATTCAGCAGACTCCCCTCACCTGTGACCAGAGCACCCCGGGCACGTTGCTTCAATGACTCAACAGATGCATCCACCTCCAATTCCAAAGACACCCTGTTGCCACTCAGCAGATGCACATCCACGAAAATCGACACGTTGAGGTCAAAGCTTACTGCGCGCGGGCTGGTTCACAGTGACAAAGTAATCTGCAAGCTCGAGATCACCTTCACCCACAAAGGTGAAGTCCGCTGCAGATGGACACTGCGTCTGCTGGCGGCTGCAAGCGACTTCGGCCACCACTGCGGGCGGCCGAACCCTGAGCCCATGAGAGACCCGCAGAACCGAAGGAGGAAGGCATGGCTCCCACATTGCAATGGAGGGCTTCTTCTAACCGTCTGAGCAAGCGAGCTCATCGGCGAAGGTTGCTAACAGAGCTGAGGTCACCGTGTCGGATATTCAGCGAACACTAGTGACTAGTGACTAGGGGTTTTAAGCACTCGTGACATTCAATGACATGCCACGAGCAACACAGGTGATGACTCGAGTCTGTGACACTGTAAATATAGTCGTCTAGGCCTCGGAAGCAGCCACTGATGCGCAAAGAATAGCCTGGCTGTTGCCGGCACACTTCTGCTTGCACTCCATTCAAGTTAGAGCCCTGGAGCATGCTACAACGACCGCATGCCTGAATAGCAGCAGTGAGTAACAGGGCAGTGCCGCGTAGCCACCAAGAACAGTAGCCACAGGAAAACCACCCTGAGCAGCGAGCTTAGCTTTGCAAAAGCTGGGCAATTGAATTAAAGGCTGGGCAAAATAATGCGGGTCCTTCAAGGCGGGATCTCACAGGTAGGAATACAACCACGGGGCAGCGATGCAACAAAGCACTCGGTGGGAAATGGTTGAGCTCATGACTGCAAGTAAGCACATACCATCAACAGACGGGCCAAGATCACACATACACACACCAAACCTGCGGACATGCAAGCTGTTCCAAATCCTGCTTTGTGGTACCGCTCAGCTGTGTGCCGCTGGAGGCAGCTGCCTCGGACGCAAGAACTCTGAACACCCTGCGAGGCCACATGTCTGTGCTGCCCGGCTAGTAAGTTTCTCTCTGGATCCGAGCAGCGATGCAGCCGAGCTCCTGACTGGTAGACTTCTTCATGGCGACCCATGCAGCGTCTCCGACGAAGCCGTCGGATCCCCGGATTTTACTACATGAAATCACGTAAACGGGGCACTGGGAATTCAACGGCCCAAAGCCTGGCAGCTTCAGGGTCCGAGTCTTCCAAGTGCGCATGGCACTCTTGAGGGCCTCTTTTTGTTCTGATGGGCGGTTGGACTTTTTCAGGGCAGCTCCATGTTGGCACTTCGAGCATGGCTCAGCATGGCTGCGTTTCATGCTCCGAAGAACTTCAATCCCACAGGCCCCTTGGCAAGTGCGCTGGGCGCGCGGCCGACCCTGTCGCGCGCTGCTTCCAGCATGCATGTAAGGCTTTGCTGTGGCAGCTTCTCTGGCCTTACCACTACAACATCTTTTTCTGAAGCAGGGCTGTGCAGCTATGCCCGTCACTCGCCCCCGGGACATCTGACTGCAGCATCGTGCCACTGTTTTGCGCCGGCTGCCAGCTTTTGAGCACCGTCTGGTTCGCGGCTATGCTTTAGCAAATCGTCCTTGTGAAACGAACTCTACCTGTGAGCATGGTGCAATGCTGCGGGACACACCTGCCGCAATTCAGAGAGAGCTCAAGACATCCCAACCACTCCCATAATTTCTACTAAAGCCTCACCTGAAAAACTCCATAAAGCTGGTCTTCGCTGTTCATGCAGTGTTCTCACTATCACTTCCATATGCAATGAAGACGAAAATCATCGCGGACCCTGCTTGCACAAGCCGTTCGAAGAGCCCTTCAGCGCCAACGCCGCAAATGCCTCTTGCCGGCACGGAAGGCCGTCACGATACTCTGCGAAAGCCTCCAGCGGCCAGAGATGCTCCGTTAAGTGGAAACTCAACCCCTTGCTTCAAACGAAGACTGTCATTGCCAGGAGCTCGTGTTCTGCGAGCAAACCTTTCAAACCGCTTTAATGTCATACCGGTCTTGTTCAGAGCCGTCCTGCGAATCTCGACCCGGACTTGGTAGCATCACGGTTGTGAGGGGGTCTCTGCACGACATTGCACATGGCATTTGCGCCATGGCATCAGAATACAGGTCTTAACTTGCGAAACCGAATGCCTCAGACCAAGCGCACTCCAATGTCTCCCATGCCGGTAAACTTGGCCGGAGCACCAAGCTCAAAGAGCTCAAAGGCCCATTTTGCCCTCGAGTTGCAGACCTGCAGCGACCTGGCGATTGTCGGACAACGCGGTTCCGACTTGGACCTTTGATTGACTTAGGAGGTCAGTTAGTTCAAGGAGTACCTACAAACTTGCGGATCCCAGCGCTAGAAAGGCAAAGCACGCAGGGCGCTTTCTTTTGCGCTCTCGTACCCGTGCGCAGCTCCAGTGGCACCTCAGATTCGAGCGGTGATCTTATGGCGATCTTTCTGCAAACTTTAAACGTTTAATTTCAAAAGGCTTAAGGATTCACAGTTGTGAATTGGGTCCGCATCAACACATCCGTCAGCAACCCCTCCAGAAAAGTCCTCCCAACAAGGAGAGGGGAGACTGTCGGGCTATGCGCAACTGACACAATGTCACAACATGCACAAAGCGACACACACACACACACACACACAAGCACCCTCAGTACATATCGCGACGCTACCGCGACATACAAGCAGACAAGCCCGAAAGACAAGGTCTTCAACTGACTGGCTATGACCGCTTGCAAATCAAACCCAGGACCATTCTGGAAGCCGAAACACTGGCGACCCTGCGAGTAAAACACCCACAGGTGAGCTCAGGAAGCTCTGCAGACGGAGTGCTCTGATCAGCTTTTAGCTGTCCACGGGGTATCCGAGCTGCGCTTGAAACGTCCGGTACCTGATGGCTAAAGCAGGCTCCGAGGGCTTAGGGCATTTGTGGTGGACTCGCGCTGCCTTCGAAGGGGCTGAGGTTGTGAGCTCATGGAGACTTCTGTACAATCCCAAACCATGCTCGACACACTGTCACTCAAACACAGGCTTGCTCTCGCTTTCTCTCTCCCTCTCTCTCTCCCTCCCTCTCTCTGTCTCTCTATCTCTTCTATCCGGAAACGAGCTGAGGCACTGCTGGAGGAGGTCTGGAGGCAGCTTCTTGGTTGCTTCCATGGCTATGGCCTCCACCAAACTCCGGTTCAGCGCGTGGCACGTTCAATGCTTCAACAAGCTCGGGATCTAAAACACCAGATGCTAGCTCATCCATCTGAGCTTTCGCACCTGTAACAGTGCAACACGCCAGTGAGTGCTCATGTTGCTTCTTCTTAGGCTGCCGACCACTCTGGACCTACAACTGTGTGCCAGAAGCATCCCAAGCTTCCTGGCTCTTTCTGACTGCGGAGATGTAAAACAAGCTCGACTAGCTTCTGGCGTGCCGTAAGAAGTCCAGAAGCACCAGCCTCACATTCCTTGTCGTTGCTATGGGTCGCGACATCATGGTGCCTGAACACAAAACCATCGCAATCTGCGATGCGCGGGAGGGGAAGGCCGAAGATACAAAGGTGAATATCCTTCAGGTCCCTTGGCGACTTGGAGCTCGACTTGTCACACTGCTTTCAAGCGTGCTTACAAGTAGCTTCTGGTCTTCATTCACAAGGTAGCAAAGGTTCATGCCTTCCCTCCATCGTCAATTTTCAGTGCTTGGTTCAGGTAAATGCATTTTGTTCCTCTTTGCCTACACTTGTTTAGAAAGTGCATAGTTTTGCGAAACTTCGCACTGGCATGCTGTTGCCATCTTGTACCATGAGATGAAAGCCGCGGAACGTATCATTATGGCCCACTATGGCAACCGCAGCAACCCCAAGTGAAGTGAAACAAAGATGGAGCTGAGCATCCTGACGACAGGAGCGGCTTCTGTGATGTTCTGGACTTCACATGTACGAAGTGCCAAGACCCTACACCACCAGCATGCGAGGTGCTGAGGGACGGTCCCAGAAACTCCGGCGAGCCTTCTGACACTTCCCTCGCTCTCGATCCATACCCTGCAAACCTGTCAACCACAGCCCAGCTGCTGGGAAAGCACGTCGCGATTTCGATGCAGATCTGCCTGGCCAAATCTGAAGATGGCGACTATAAAGGGTCCCCAGGCGACGCGACGGCCTGCTTGCAATTCTCGAGGATCGTGTCGCGCTCCGTGGCGTTGATGAAGTCCAGAAGCCAGAAATCCCTGGAAGCTTGGGAGGGAGGGGCGGTGAAAGGTGCACCACCATCCTGCGCTTCTACTGGTAACGCCTTACGCCTTAACCTGCCGTGGGACTCTGTGCTGGCCGAGGTGCACTAAGCGAGCCACCTCGCGATCGAAGCTGTCACTGGAAGCTGAGAAGTTCTCGAAGGACAAGCGGATGGTATCCTGTTTGGTCCGTCCGCACTCTCACGGGGCCGAGGGTGCCTGCCTTGGGTCTGAGGCTTAGATTGATCTTGCCGTTTCCTCGGCAGGATTTGCAAAGATGGCCGTCATGTTGCGCACAGTAGTGAGCATTTTCTCCTCGGAGTTCGGAGTCAGGCACAGAGCGTCCCACAACTAGGCCGCAGGACGGCCGGTACTCATCTTGCGACCCTTGGAAGGGTGCTCTCAGCAGAAATGGAGTCCCCGATGGCTTGCCGAGCTGCTGCCGCAAACTTCACGCCCTCCTTGCGAAGATTTAGGCTCGGATTGGGCATGCCAGTCTCTCCTAAAGCCCCCAAAGAAGAACTGAGCCCAGCATCCTCCGGGCCCATGGTCATGATCAGGCCCGGCGGCCACAAGGTGGTGTAGCCCAGCTCCTGGCGAAGGTGGCCAAAGCTTCGGAGCTCTCAGCTGGTGCCGAAGACTGCCCGGCGGGAAGCCTCCCCTCGATGGTGATAGCAATATGCGGAGGCGATCATGGCCAGGGGGTCTCCTAGAAACACGGAAAGGCAAAAATACAAAGGAGTGTGTATTTCGGACCAATAGCCACATGTCTGATATGTTGTTGCGCTCTAACACAACAGCTCATTTCTGGGCCAGCGACGAACGGAGCCCGCAACTCGCATTCCATTCGGCTTCGCGTCCTCGCGCTCGTTCCTGTCAGAAAAGCGGCTTGGAAGATCTTGGAAAAGGGACCCGGGGGCCTGTTTGGGGGGCCCCTGTTTTCAACCAGTGCTTCCATGGCGCTGCTCCATGTCTGGGCCATAGATATCCACCAAGGTTCGGACTGGCGCCGTCTGGTGCCTGCAGACCGTCACTCTTCAACAAGGTCTCGGCCTAGGGCCTATAAGTTTTTCAACAGATCAGCTTTGAGTTTGCCCGCGGGAAGGCCGCAAAGCCTGCCTGCACCAGTTCTCATTGTAGATGATCCTTAGATGCCGTTGCAGGTCCGCTGCAAATTGCTACCTATACCTAGAGTCTTTACAATCAACCCCACGACCAGTCCCGTGCAATCCAGGGTCTCGTTGAAGCACGGCTGCTGCCAAAGGCCGTACACTTCATCTGAAGCGTTCAACTTATCGAAGATCATCCTCTGCAACTCCTTGCAAGGCCGCAGTCGCATGGCAAGAGAAAACAAGGCTGGTGCTTTGGGAATCCGTGCTCCAGTCCGTCCTGCATGAGGAAGACACCCGACTTGTGATATGCAACTGCCGTAAACTTCAAAGATTCCTCAGTCTCACCATGCTCTGAGTCGGCTGCAGCTTTACGCTTTCCACACTCCCGCGCAGTTTGCGATCTGGAATCTTGAGAGCCAAGTCTCCCAAGGCTTCTTTGCCTTGTGTCGTCGATCCAGCGCTCTGTGCTGCATCATGGAGAGGCCGGTCTCCTGGCCAGCCTCCTCTGCCAGTGATCTCAACTTGCACCTTCCTCCCAAACGGACACGCGCAAGTGCGAAGGTGTAACGGTTGCCAGGGTTAGGGGCTAGCACTGTGTGCTGCTCTATGCCTCGGTTACCTGGCCGCTGTTCCGCAATTCCGCACCTCCACGGGCTGGACCCTCCCGAAGGTCAGGCGTTGAATCGCAGGAGACATCCTCCGCTGGCACGGCGCAGAGGAAGAGAAGGCCCAAAAGGCTCCTCATGGCGTGCCCTTGAGCGGCCACAAAAGGATTCGGGGATACTTGTAGCATTCCTGTGCAACGCAGGATCCAGGCACAGTGATCGGGGTAATTAGGTTGTGTCGGGATGCTCCAGCGCTTTGGGATGGACCGATTGAAGTTCGGAGAAGGATTATGGAAGCAGCGAGCTGCCCGCAGCCCAAGTTGGGTTGTCTTGAGCCTGTGCACCAAAGCGGCGAGCATGGATAAGGGACGTACGTGGACCGGTCGCAAGCCATCCCTGCGCAATGCAGTACAACCGAAGCCGCAAACCCTACAGCCAAGGCGCCCGGGGAGCCGAGTGCGGTGAGCGACTGGACTGAGGGGTCTCGATCCTTACGAGGGTGCAGGGATCTCCGACCCGGGGTTCTCTTGACACTCACAAGGCGTATGCGAAGGTCAGAAAAACACGGTGGAGCATTCCGTGTTTTTGCGCAGCTAAGAAGGAGGGCGCAAAGTCATCTCAGAACCGGCACTTGAGGTCGGGACTCTCCTTCGACAGGGTAGTCACCGGCCTCGGTGGGGAACACTTCAACATGTTGATTAGTACGGGGACGGATGAAGATCCTGCAAACAACGTCGCCTTTTTGGCCTCTTTCCTAGCCGCCTAGCTTCAGCTCTTCCGGGGCCCGGACACCCGCCATATCAGGTTGCTTCGCAGGGGACCTGGGCAGATTGGGGTGCGAAAACATCCGGGATTTGGAATCTGCAGAATCTAGAAGCGCTTCATCGCGATCTTTTGAACCGAAGCCCGCGAATACGCAGACCGGGCAGATTCCGTCTTGGCATGTGATGGCGTGCCCGTCCCCTGCCACGAGCATTCATGCTTCCTCCTCGACGAAGCTTCCTGTCTGCCCCATCCAACACGAGCCATGTGCCAGCGGTCTCTCAAACCATCCCCAAGTTGTAGTCAAGCTAACTGAACCCGAAAGCTGGCGGGCATTTTCCACGCAGGCACTGCACTTGCGCTTACTGGGCGGACGTGTCAGCATCTTCCTGACGGCGGAATGCTCGGAGGATCGAGGCTGCATCGAAGCAGGTGATGCGTGTCACAGATTTGCGCCCAACATAGAAATCCTCCCTGAGTGCGGAAGCAGACGCCCCTTTTCCGGCAAGGCCTACGTCCTATGTCGGTCAACCGGGCCTGGAGAAGGCACTGGCCGGCCGCAACGCATCGCAGGACGTGCACCTGAAGTCGTCTCAGAGTGTCCGATGGCAGAAGTGGCCGCAACGCTGAGAGCTAAAACGTCGATCACTCGTGCAACACTAGCACCGGCACAGGTCGAGCCGATCCCCGTGACCGGACTATACAGGGATCAAAGGGAACTTGATGGAACAAAAATATCATTGCACCTGCAACCCACCAACCCGAGCGGGGGGCTCCCTCAGTGCATACACTGGGGCATTTTTTGCTTTGTCCCGGAGTACAGACATGCAGATGTTTATGGAACCCCAGCATTTCCCCACTGTTAATGGCAAGGCTCCAGTCTTCTGCAAAGTACCGAAAACTGAAGCACACAGGATGCCAGCAACGGTCCGCACAGCTTGGCATTTCGACTATGAGGCTAGGCTTGTATGTACCTGAACGGAGCCATGAGCCTGTAGTTTTGTTCTCGCCAGGGGCACCGGTGGGACTCGAAGTGCTTCTGCGCAGCGCGAGCATTGGCCTCTGCCTTGCGCCCAGAAATCCGGCTGAAGATCTCCAAGCCTGCGGTCTGCAGTGTGGCTTCTTGGGGTTTGCTTCCGGCAGTGGCTGAAGAGTAGCGCTTGTGATGTGCTCGGCCACACACGAGTAGCAAGAGCCGGCTTCGCACCTGAAGGGGTCAGCTGCCATCCACCATCCCGCGCCAAAGCCATGCAAGTGCCGGCAGCGACCAATGACAAAGGTTTGCACCTGCCAAAGAAAGACAAGCCCTTCTAGATTCAGACGAGCGATGCTCCAAGCGCAATGAGGTGGTCTGGCAAGAGGAGGCTCAAGCAATCAGGTTACCTGGTTCCAGCGCTGAAAACCGTCGTAACTTCGCACACAAGCAACAGCCCGATCTATCATCGGTGGAATCTAACCCCCATAAAGCCACGTCTGAGGCATCAGAGGCACCTGGACGCTCGGAGAATCCCATCCAAGCCGGGGCTACAGTAGAAGAGCTTCCTTGTGGGATCAGGGCTATGCCGAAAACCAACCGGTCCATTCAGAAACATGCAAGGTACCTCGGTTCTCGCGCTGGCAACTAGTCTCGGGCAAATGCTTCAGGGTATCGCAAGGCGGAGGGGTTCCACATTGGGCCAGCTCTGGGGGCTTAGTTGCACGCAGCCCCTGCTTCCACATCCTCGGTCCGCCCCCACCTCCCTCACAAACCCTGAACCACCGAAATTATCCGCAAGCTACGCCTGCCAACCAGACCGCTCCACCCCCCTAAGACTCGGAGCAGCTCGGTGAGGCCGAGTGTCCGCCTCCCTCTCGAGAGAAGTTTGCCCTTGTCCAGGGATGGCACCCCAGTGCTTTGGGCCAGTGCCTCCGCAGCTTTCACCCAAGGGAGCCCAGATGTGGATGTGGATGGGTGTTTCTTCGTCGTTGCGCATTGAAACCCTCGATCATGCGAAGGTCACACGACAGGTCAGGACAAGGTCTTACAAGGGCTACATGACTTGGTTACTGCGAAGGGCCACTGTAAGCATTCACTTGTTTCAATGTAGCATGCACATATTCCATGAACATCTGGCTTAGAAGGTTGGCCTGCCTTGCTGTTCTATGAGCCTCGTTGCTACCAGCTACATGCAAGATTTTCTGCTCAATCTCCTCATCGCGTCTGATTGGCTTCTCGGGCTTCGCTGGAGTTTCCAGTTTCCGACTTTGTCGTCGTTGTAGACTCGCGGCCTTTCCGTGGCTTCCGTCACTGTGGCCCAGCGGGCCTCAGGCAAGACCTTCGACAGCTGCAGAGGTTTGGCAATGTGGCTCTCGCTCGCCTGCAGGCACGGCAGGCTTCAGGTCTGTGACTCAAGACTCCAATCCAAGCAGGCGACAGCTGAAATAGTCAGCCTGTGCTTCACAGTGCGGGAGATCTGAGACGTGTGATGAAACATCCCACAAGTTCCCTCAATCAAGCCGGTGTCTTGGGGCATCCTGCAAAGGCCCAGTGGAAACGACAAGCGACAAGGAGCCCTAATTTGCCGAAGCCATCAACTCCAGGGATTCACGAAATGCGCGAACCTCCGCCTCTTCCGCAGCCCGCAGGCGAGCCGCAGGCGCAGAGGCAGAGGGGGCTTTTGGCTCGGGCCAGTCTCGCACTTTTTGCAAGAGCGCCACGAAAAAGCCCCCGGTGTTCGCCAGGAATGGAACGCAACGCACACCTCAGGCTCGGTGCAGCCTCTTGCTAAAGAACCGGTCCACAAAGAATTGAAGACTAAGGCTTTGTTCAGCCATGTCGGACCTTCGCAGGCAAGGGGCAGCGCTGCAGCTTCAGATCCTCTGAGATGCAGAACTGCACAGCTGCCACTGCTGCTGAACATCCCCCAATTTGCCCTCTCCCTCACATCCCTCACTCCTTCACGCCAGCCGGCGGCCACATGGAAGAGCGGTACCGGCGGCGGAGACAGGCCGGCAGTCCTGGGTACTTAGGACCAACTTCTGACTTCCCCTGAACCCCCTTTGGATTTCGCGGAGTGGTGTCAAGACAAGCTGTCAGTGTGGAGACCATGCCGCGACACATCTCTGCAGGTTTGTCCAAGTGGTCAAAATGTGCTGCATGTGGATCGAAGTATCGAGACGGAGCGTGGATCGTCGCAGCAGCGGACAAGAAGAAGCCCTGCATGGTCCAAATGCCACCTGGTGGCGCTTGATGTCATGGTACCGGGCGAGCCGCCCGGCGGCTTCATCCACGACCTCCGTCAAAGCGGTTGCAACAAGGCTTGCGAAGATGCTGACCCTGTCCCCTGCGGGGATTCTCCCACAGGGCTCAGAGATGGCTCTTTGGCTACAGACCCTCTTTGCGGAATACACGGGAGACTTCTCGAGAGATGGGCCGACTAACAAAGGTCTGACTTCCATCGCAAGTGCAACGACCCTCTGCCTCCCAGTGTTGCAACCCAGGCCTCACAGGCAACCTCGGCAGGGCTTTTCCGAAAAGTTCGTTTGCAGTGCTTCTCAAGGGAAACTCCTGAAAGCAAGAACGTGCTAAAAGCGAAGGCACGAGGATATCATGATCTGTCTAAACTTGTTCGGGCAAGAGATCGGAGCCCTTGTTGAAATACACATGGATGTGCTAGAGAGTGCCGATGATGGCATGCTTTCGAGCCGTGCTGCCGCATCTCCGCAAATCTTAGGGTATGCACCAAACACAAGGAGAGCAACGTTGTCTTCGTTTCCGCTAACATCCTGGCTCTGAAACCTCGCTGAGGGACCCCTCCAGTGCAGGCGGACGTTTCAGAACTACAGCACCGCCTGTTCGACAAAGGAGGCTGGCCACCACGGCCTCCAGGGGAGTGCCATCACTGCGACTACATTTGCCCGTATGCACGTTCTGCAAGGGTCTTCTTTCTTGGATGGGGTATTTGTGAGAGAGAGAGAGAGAGAGAGAGAGAGAGAGATGTCCATGCAGCGCCGGAGGGGCACAGCAGAGTCTGCACTGGCTGCCAGTGACGTCAGTGTGCCTCGTTCTCCAGCGGGTTGAAGGAGCAGGTGCTGTACCTTTGAGGGTGCGGGAGGTTCCACAGACCGTGCTTCCACGCCTCTGCTGTCTGCAAATTATTTTCGAGCTGGTAAGAAACCGAAGATAGCCCATGATAGCCCTCCCGAATCACTTCCGCACACCTGCACGCTTGTGGGAGGTCATCCTCCGTTTCTGAATTCTGCGAGGAGGCGTCATCTGGCCACCCACTTGCAGGAGTGCCAGTCCTGTGTGATGCGTTCGATTTAGAAGTTAAGACGCCGAAGGACTTTACAAAGGACGTGCTGTGACGTACTGATCTGCTATCGCAAGACAGGAGTGCAGTTTGGGATTCTCCTGAGGGGGGGATCCTATTGCCTCCCAAAGGCCAAACGTAATTAACCGTGAAACACTGAAGCTTCAGCCGCAGCGGCCGCGGAGGGCAATCTGGAGCTGTCGCGCATGCAGCTCCCGGCCAAGGTGAGGGCCTTGGAGGAGGTTCCGAAGAAGAGTTGCTATACGCGCAATTGCACGTATAGGATTTCAGCTAGCGAAGACCACCGGGCTCGGGAATCAGTGCCCGAAATTCTCGAATCTTGGGACTGACTCGGCAGGTTCCATTCGTGACGGTGCACGTCTCTCGTCGGTCTTCAGTCAGCCCAATCTGTAATCCAACAAATTCGGCCATGTCGTCATGTCTCGGTGCTTCGAAGCCACTCCAGGACCGCCACTTCTCAGGATGTTTTCGCATGGTGCCATCCCCGCTGCAAGGCACATCGCAAATGATGCGATCGAAGAGACCAGGACCTGTTCTTGGGGGATGTCACAGTGACGACGCATACATGGCGTGGCCTGGCTTCGTGCAAAAGCAAGACTCGGCCACGCGATTGAGATGCAGCTGCCAGGTTTAGATCCACCCCGTCCACCTGTTGGCTTCAGCTTGGCTCTTGAGAGATGCTTGGCGCGTTTCTTTGCCCTCTGCGCCTGGGAAGACCTGCGCCTTGTGCTGCGCAACCGCCACGG